GTAGAAACGGGACGGGGAACGGGTCGGGGCGGAAGAACTTATCACCGTCCCCGGCCCGAAAATGATCGGGGATTTTTTTTTCAATACCGTCACCGGCCCGTCGGGGGTATTTTTTGGGAAAAACCTATATTAATCGGGGTCGAGGTGTCAGGTCCCCATCGGGCCAGGTTTAAATTGCCATCCTAACTCACCTCTCACATTCTATACATCAATCAACTAAAAAAATAAATAAATAAATTACAAATAATTCCAAAACTATTTTTAAAACTTATAACCAAACAAATTTTCTCTTTTCAAATTATAATGCAAAAACTCAAAACTTAAAATATAACTCCACACTCAAATTATAATACTAAAACTAAACCAAATGGACCCAAAGATTATGGGGTTTAAAGGTCTAACCCATTTGGTAATTGATATTTGTAGTCCAAAAGACTAAACTATCTATAAAAATCAAAACTAGGATAATCTAAAATGATATTCTATTGCAATCCCTGATTTTGCTTACTTTAGCTCAGAAGAATCTCTATTTTGAATCTTCAACAACTTTTGATGCCCGTGGATTCAAAACTAAAATATAAAAAGAACATATTCAATGAAATGAAATTGTTAACACTAAAAAGATGAAGGGAAATTCCAGTCCAGGAGAATAGAGAAAATTAAATATAAAAATATGTGAGGTACAAGTCATTTTTATGATCGGAAGCAAGTGAAGAATTGTGAGGTGCAAGACTTGCACCCCTCCATGTTTATATAAAAAAAATTTATGTCCCACTGGATGCAACTTCCCTTAAAAATAACCAACAGATACAACTCATTTTTATGTACTAACAAATGGTTTGGCATTCTTCAAAAAAGTCAAAAAGTTACTAAAAAAGTCAAAAAGTTATCACTATTCATCAAAAATATATAAAACAATTAATTTTACAAAAAAAAAAAAGTACTTTAACTGCCCACTATTTGTACAAAGGGAATAAGCAGAGAATCAAACAAGACAGTGTTGTTCGGCCCGTGGGGGCCCATCACAGGTCCCGTTTTGATAATCTGAATAGTTCAATATGTAGAAATCGTCGAGTACTATATGTTTGTAAAAAATCACGCTGATCGGATATCGCTCACTACATGATTAAATCAGTTTTGTATAAAAAATGGATGGCGTTATAGTTAACGATTGACAAAAAACTAATCCGATCAAATAGCTATCGATATCCGATCATCATGATTTTTTACAAGCATATAGTACTCGACGAGTTCTACACATTGAACGATTCCGATTAGCAAAATGGGATCCATGGTGGGCCCCCACGGGCCAAACAATACCGTCCAATTCAATACCCGAAAAGGAGGCAACCATCTCCTATACACTACTCTAAACACGCTGCCAGCTAAGACATCCACCTTACTGCCTATTCTATCCTAAGCTTCTCCTATACACTACTTTATACAATTTTATAATATACATTTTTTCGTAAAAAGCTAACAAGTTATCCCAAACAACCATCTTTTTTTTCTCAACTTGTTAGTCCAAAAAGTCAAAAAGTGCACTTATTTAGGACATCCCAAACAACCCAGTTTTACTTTCTTTTTTAGCCTTTGACATAAGGGACAACTAGCGGTAACCCAGGATATAAAAAAAATGGGGTACTTACGTGTATATCTTAATAAGTGGATTTATTGTCTAATTGGTCCTATGAAAAAATTTTGTAATAAAAAAAGTTACTAAGTTTATAAAAATCATGACAAAAAAAAGTCACTAATTGTCAACTTTTAGCGACGTATATAAAAAAATTGTCACAAAAAATCATTTTTAGCGACAATTTTACCAAGATTTATTTTCAATAGGAGTTGATGGGAATTAAGTTCAACTATTAGAACCTATTGGTAGTTTATCCAAAAAAAATTAATAGCATAAGTTTATATAAATAATTAGATTTTTGTATGTAAAATACAAAAATGAAAAAGATTGAATCTCACAATTAGACTTGTTTAGAAATTGACTTTTTTAGTAATTTTTTAATTTATTACGGAAAGTCATGTGAAAAAATAGAAACAATCAATTAACGACTTGTAGTGACTTTTTGACAAAAAGTCACTCTTTTCAAACATGACTCACAATTTTATCATAATCAGGGCCGGCCCTGGGGCATAGGCCACAAGGCCATGGCCTAAGGCCCCTCAAAATCGACTCAAAAAAGGGGCCCTCTCTTATTAGAATTTAGTGTAATATATTAGGTATGTTTTAAGTCTAAAAAAATTTAAAAAGACCCAAACTAACTTAAAATAAATTGACCCATTAAAAAATTGAAAGGCCATTTAAAAAAATTAACATTGTTATCCATTGAATATAGACCCAAAAAAGGGGGTCTCTCTTATTATAGTTTAGTCTAATATATTAAGTACATTTTAAGTCCAAAAAAAATTAAGGAAGGTCCAAATTAACTTAAAATAAATTAATCCATTAAAAAATTGAAAGACCCATTTAAAATAATTAGCATTGTTATTAATTGAAAATGATTTTGCAAAAAAAATAGATTATGCAAGTATGATTGATTTATTTGCTTTTAAAAATACAAGAAGAGTGAAGATCAAGCGATACTTATTAGTTATTGTAACGTAATGCTAAGTATTTTTTTGTAATTTTAACACAAATCTTTTGTCCTTTACTTTCAATTTTTTTTTTTTCATTTAATGAAAAAAAAAATGTGAAGAGCCCCAAAAATTTATTAGTTGATTATCGGCTTTGAACCCCGAAAATCTGGCATGCATTTTATCTGTCAATTTTTAAGTTGTCACTAACTCTATTATATAACTTCCTCCCCCCTTGCTAGAGCAACAAACTTTGATGAGTTCAACCAAAGCAATTGAAGTTTAACTCGAATTTTTTTAAGAATTGAATATCATATTTTTTAATTTGGTGAGAACTTCAGCAACCTGTATTTTTTTTACTTTTTTTTTTTAGATTAGATAAACCAAAGAACAACTTGTGATTGAAAACACCCTTTTACTTAATATAGATATAGATAAATATAGATTTTCCAAAGTTGGTCAAGCCATATCATGGGTCATGTTCTAACTCTAACGGTAGATCTGACCAAGAAAAATTGATTAGTTCATTAGTTGAAATAGTTTATAAATATGATTAAATTTATTTGTTTGACTTTCTATATATAAATATATATTTTTTAAAATTTAAAATTATAGAAACGGTTAAATCTGCCAATAATTTTATGTCACTTGTATTTCTTAACTATTAAAATTAAAAATTTTATATTAATACTTTGAAATTCCTTTTTGGTCGAAAATACACTAATTTTATGTCACTTGTATACTCTACACCTAAGAAACACACTAATTGATATATTAAATAGTTACTAAATTGAATTGAAAATGAAAATTATGAAAAATATAATTATTGATTTTTAAAAACTACATACATAAAATTAATAAATGATACAATTCTTTCTTCTTTTTTAAAAAATTTTATTTATAACCTATTTAATAGCCTTACAATCAATCACAAACTCTAACTTTTTAATAATATATGGCACATTGACGTATTATAAGTCTTAGAAATAACAAATATGCAAAAAATGTCATACATAATCTTAGCACTGAAGCCAAAAACTATTTATAGTTACCTTAGAATTTGAAAGGGGCATCCATGGTTATCTTCACGGGAATGAGGTTGGTGATGTGCCTTATAAGCATAGTAGTCTGTGAAAGCACGTCCGAAATTTATTTTAATGATCCGAAATGTTCACAGTGTAAGATTCGTTGAGTAGATTATTCATGAAAAAATTCAAGTTAATTAGACGTCTGTAACTTACAACAAGACTACGTTTATTTTAATGATCCGAAATGTTCATAGTGTAAGATTCTTGATCATGTGATTATATTTGTTCGATTAATTTCATTTTTTATGTGGATAATATACTCAACAAATCTTATAATATGAACGACTCGGATTATCAAATTATGATCGGAATAAACCATACTACGTGTGACATCATGGGTGCTGTCACGACGCCCACCCCAATCCTTATCTTCACATATGGCTTGATCTATTGTGTTCTATTGTTAATAGAGGATGGATAGACGTGTAGATTAAGCTTGAATGAAATGAATGGAAAAAAAAAAAAAAAAAAAAAAAGTTATAATTTTTCCTTCTCAAATTAAAGGTGTATTTCATTAGAATGAAAATTATAGAAAGTGAAGAGAAAAGAAAATTTATTTTCTTGTACTTATTTGGCTAAGATAGATTTTGTCTGAGAAAGTAATAAGAAAATTGATAAATGAGATAACAATTAATTACTTTCAGGAGGAAAAAATCATATAATATTTTCCAAGAAATTGAAAGTAAACTCACAACGACCATATGAATCACACACATAAAAGTACCAATTTATTCCAATATAGGGTTCAACATCACCAACGACAAAAAAAGGAAAAAGAAAAACTGTGCACAATGTAAAAAACATTAATATTAATCAGCCATATAAGCTTCTAGTAAAAACCACGACCATAGCCATGGTTAAATCTATAAGGAGCCTTCGAACCACCCGGCGTTTGGAACCCTACCATCAAATGGAACAATGCCATTGTTGTCGCTGCCACCACCACCTGCTCCAAAAGAACCCGGCCCTGCACCAAATGGTAAAGCACCAATACCACCACCTCCAGCAAAACTCCGGCCCGCCTGAAATGACGAGCCACCAGCACCACCACCAAAAGAACTCTGCCCATCAAGAAATCCACCACCACCACCAAAAGAAGTACCACCACCACCAAGCCCAGCAAAAAATCCACCACCACCAGCAGCAGTGATGCCACCACCACCACCACCAAAAGAACTCGGCCCGCAAGAAATCCAGCACCTTCAAAAGAACTCGGCCCTGGATGAAATCCAGCACCTCCAGCACCACCACCAAAAGAAGTCGGGCCCACCCCAAATCCAAAGGGATTGGCAGGCTGTTCATGCACAATCTTTGTCCTGAGTTCCATCATAGCAGCCTTAAACGATGAAGCTGTGGCAGATTCATCTCCTCAACCGGACCCTCCCACCAGCGATGTTCGCCCTGACCCTCGGCCATCTTGAGCTGATCTAGGGCTGTGCCGCGCTGCTTCTCCACGTCCAGAAGGGCCTGGACATGAGTCAAGTGCAGGTTAAGATCCCGGACACGGGCGCTCCTGTGGGCCTCCACTAGCTGGTGGGTCCCACTGTTCAAAGGAGCATCCCGGGACAGAAACCTGTCGATGATCATATCCACAGTGGGGTGGCCAAAAGAGTAGGCCTTTTTGCCAAGAGAGAATACAATGATTCCCACCTCGGCACCACACAGGACTGAAAGCTCGCTGGCTTTCTTGAAGAGACCGGATCGCCGTTTTGAAAAGGTGACTTGGAGGTTGTTCTCGTTCTCCATTTTGGTCATGGTAATCTTTTGGCGGCCTTTGCTCTTTCTCTCCATGGCTAGGGTTAACACAAGGAAGGAAGATAATGAAGTTGGGTGTGTGTGTGTGTCCTAAAACATGTGGTTCAGAGGGGTATTTAAAGAGGTTTGGCCATACCTTGTGGGGCTTGTTTGTTTCATGGTATTAGTGGGGCTACCCAAAGAATCTCTGGTTTTCAAATTTTAGGTAAGTAGGTGTTTGGATGAGTAAATTTTAGGTAAGTTGTGTTTGGATGAGGTATATTTCAGGAGAAAATTAATAAAAATAACATAATTATAATTTTAATTCTTTTTGGTAAGTAGTTATTTGAATTATAATGTCTGATAAATTTTTTTTGGTAAGTAGCTATTTGAACTATATTTTCTTCCCAATGCCTTAGATGCATATGCGGCAGTAAAACAAAATAAAAATGAAATATATAAATCTCGAGATATAATTCAATGATTAGAATAAATTTATAACTGCCCAATGAAATCTCACACCAAAAGTTTAGGATTCCGTATCTTATGGGCCCGCATAAAATGCACGAGTTTTTTTTGTGTTATCTAATTTATCATTTTTCGATTATGAAATCGGGATTGATAGTCTCATACCATTTCTAATCTTGCAAAATAGTAAAATTACCAATACTATGACTCCATGGTATTAGCAATCTCACATTGTTTTGTCACATTATTTTTTTCACGAGTAAAAATTAATCACATGACATTTGCATCGTATCATAATTAAACATAATTCAAATATTTTCATACCATATATAATCCCATTTAATATTTAGTATTACTAATCCTATTCATAATATCATGGTATTATGTGGATCTATGATTCTTATAATCTCCTTACTAATGTTATTGGTAGGTGAAAAGAAACTCCTAATGAGAGTATTATATAATATTACAGCAGTGATTTAGATCCCCTCAAATTTTAATTCCTACCACCCCACACACACGTGGCGGGTGGTGATTAGAGGAGGAGAAAAAAAAGTAAAAGAAAAAGAAAAAGTGACCAATCAAAAAAGAAATGGGGTCAAAAGGGGGTGGGAAAAAGGGGATCCCAATCTTTATTCATAATATTATTAGAAAAATATTTGAGAATTCTAATTGAATATCCTCAATCTATTCCTAATTATGTGGAATGGACCCCACTTTTCAATTATTATCCTTCCTCTCTCTCACATCATTAAATGTTAATATGAGATGATATATTAAGGGATGTAATCTTCAAGGGGATAGATAAAAAACACTTGTTAGGCATTTTAGCCAATATAATTCTAATTTTGGACTCCAACGGACTGGCTATTAGGTTAGCTATTTTACCATTCTACCTTTTGCTAGCTACAATTAAAAAGCCCCATAGGCTCTCCAAACAAATATATATGTATATGTCTTGAATTTTTGTATATTTATGTCTTAGATTTGAGATTTTATATATTTTATATATGCATATGTGTATGTAGTAATTTTATATGTTCTTTCAATTCTGTTTGATAAATTACGAAATAACTTATTTTGTATTTTGTATTTTTTTTTCTCCTTATTCCATAGGTTTTGTATGCTTATATGGGCAAATTTATTATTATTGCAAATTTACATTAGTAAAATATCAACAATTAGTATTTTTTGTTTTAAAAATTAATTAAGTTAGTTTGAATGATTAGCTAAAATAAAGAGTATGGTTGGAGAACACAATAGTTAAAGTAATTAGGTAAAATAAAAAGTATACTTTTTTCATACTTTAACTAGTAAAAAGTAGAGAGTGTGGTTGGAGTTGCTCACCACTCATATTATTTATGTGATATCACAATAAATAAAAAACTGCAACACACTAAGGTCCTATTTGGAGACTTGGGTTAGTAGTCAAAAAATCACTATAAGTTATCACACCACTCTCTTTATTTTTGTACATTTCCCCACACGTCTTTTTGTAAAATGTTAAAAAACCAACTAAGTCTATATTAGCATAATACCTATTTAATTACTTGCTAGTTATAGAGATTTCAATTTCTTTTTATTTAATCTATGTGCAATGCTACTTGCCCAAAACCAAAAAATTTATCCGGATTTATACTATTGTCATGAATTCATAGCTGTCTTGGTTGGACTAAATTAAAATATGCTGAGGGACATCAATTGTATTACTCACCAAATTCAAATGTCAAGATAAATTTCAAAATGAAAATGAAAATAATTATAGGATGGTATGCGACATTAATGCATCACCATCATTACACACTTGATGAATAGGTAGATGATTTACAAATATAAATAAATAATGGAAAAGCCTTCTATTCATTTTTTGTTGAAATTGTTGATATATCATTGATTTTTTATCACTATTTTATATCACTATGTAAATTCTCACAATTAATTTCTTATTTAAAAATAAATACTAATAAAATAATAATGACAAATACTATAATATTTTATCATGTAATTTGATAATATAAAATAATAAAAAAAATTGGTGAGATAAACAGAAGTGATGCTAGAGATCTCTAAATTCAGCCACATTAACATGGTAGGGGGTTAAATATTTGGTTGATTTTTAAACAAATCAACAACTAACATGCAAAATAATCCACATTATCAAGGATAATTTAGGAGATGATATTTTAAGGGTCATCCCCTAAATTTACACCCTAGTAACATAGGCAGTTGCACATCAATTGTTAATTTGTTTAAAATCAACCAAATAATTGCACGTCAATTGTTAATTTGTTTAAAAATCAACTAAATATTTGCACGTCAATTTTTTTAATTATTTTAAAATCAACCAACTAAGACTTAATCCCTTGTCACGTTAGTATAAATAAATTTAAAAATATTTTTTAAAAATTATCTAGCATAACTCTTTTTTATTACGCCTCAAATGACACCAATTAATTGAAAAAGTAACACTTCTTTAATCTGTATGTAAAAGTGGGAAAATGAAGTGCATGTAATCTTAGCGATCCCGGTTTCTATTCCTTTGATTGTTGTATTCCGAACTTAGGTTCCGTGGAGTTGGTGGTTGTATATCTTGTTGTTATCCTTTAATTCCGTGTGTTTAAGTTTTAGGATGTATTGGGCGTGTTTCGAACAGGTTGGTTGAGCTTTAGACCCATTCCTTGTTGCCCAGATTTTTGGTGGTACACTCGAGCGGGTCCCTTTGCGCTCGAGCGCAGTTTGATTTTTGGTTGTCTGCTCGAGCGGGGTTTACACACTCTCAGCATTTCGTGCCTCTGCAAAACTTCTGCAGGCGTGTTTTTCACGCTCGAGCGGTTTTCCTTACGCTCGAGCGGGTATCTTGGCGCTCGAGCGGATAGCTCATTGTCTGTAAAAGTATTGGAGGGGGGAAATCTACGGTTGAGCGGTTTTTGCTTTGTGCTCGAGTGGGTGTGTTTTGCAGTTGTGTCTTGGTGCTCGAGCGGGAATCTTTGCGCTCGAGCGAGTCCAGTTTTTGTGTTTGACGCTCGAGCGTCCTATTCTCCGCTCGAGCGGGTCATACATATAATAGATCACAGCTGGGTCATTTTGAATCACTTTTCAACATCCTTTCTCTCTCTTACTTTTCGAAAAACTCCATTGGAGAGCTCCTCTCACTAGAAACCCGACTTCTCTCTAGGTATTGATCTAGTTAGAGTGATTCCCTACCCTTGAGCCTTTACAAAAAGTGTTGATCTTGTTGTGGGCTATCTTTTGATCCAAAAAGTTCTTGATTTGGAGCACTTCGAGATTTCTACATCTTCTTCCTTTGGGCTCCGAATTTGAGGTAGGGATAACTACTCATTTCTATGGTCTTTAACATAAACTATTGGTCATTTTGATGTAATGTTGAGTTTGGGTGATTTTGGGTGTTAGGGTTTCAAAACATATAATAGAGGGGTTTTGTAGTTTGAGCCTATACATGTATATTTGAGCCTAGAGATGAGAATATTGGCGTTGTTGATAATATTTGGACCTTTGGGTCAATATTGAGCTTAAAGGGAAAAATGCCATATTTGGGTATAATTGGGTCATTAGTGTAATTAATGACATTTGTAATGAAATTGAGTTGGGGATAATGAAATTTGCTCATTATGAGATAATGGTGGAGTTGGATTTATAAATCGCTCACTTTTGAAAATGTCAATTATATATTTGTTGAGGCATTTATTATCTGTTTAGAAATAACAGCTTTGGGCTATCGGTGGAGGATAGTCTTGATTATTGTAGACATTGCATGATGATTAGGTAAATTGAAACTAATCAAGTTGTGTATTTGAATACATGGGTGCCGAATCCCGCGGATG